TCTGATTATACTGTTTTAGATGTCTACTAGAAACAGCAAACTAAATGCTGGATTTTATATGCTGGAAATATAATTTGGAAAGTCAGTAGCATAAAGATATCTGAAGCTATGGGACTGGACAAGATCATCTGGGGAAAGAACATAGGGAAGAGACAGAGGACACACTCCAGTGCCTAAGAGATCTCAGGCAAAGCAGCCAACAACTGAGGGGTAGCCAGTAAAGCAGGAGAAAACCCAGCTGGCAAAGAGTTAAGAAAGTCCAGAGAACAAAGTGTTTCAAGGAGGGAGAGATGAAATGTGATCTACCTTGCCACCTCAACAGCAAGGCCCTCCCTTGACCAACTTCTTTAAAAACACTGCCAGTGGGGGTGGGCCTAGTGGTGTAGTGGTTAGGAGCACACACTCCACTTCGGTGGCCCAAGGGTTCACAGGCCCGGATCCCGGGCGCCCACGGACGCACCGCTTGTCAAGTCATGCTGTGGCGGCGTCCCATATAAAGTAGAGGAAGATGGGCACGGATGTTAGCCCAGGGCCAGTCTTCCTCAGCAAAAAGAGGAGGATTGGCATCAGATGTTAGCTCAGGGCTGACCTTCCTCACAAAAAAAAAAAAAAAAACACGCCCAGCATTTCCTATGCCCCTCCCTTGTTTCTAGTTTTCTCCTTAAAACTTAACACTTTAGTATTCTATATACTTTTCATATTTAGTTTGTTGTCTGTCTCTCTGCATTTGCATGTAAGTTCTAAACAGGCAGGGATTTTTATCTGTTATGTTCACTGATGAATCCCAAACAACCTAAAAAAGTGCATGGCACATAGTAGGCACTCAATTATTTTTAAATGAATGAAATATTGCTGAAATGTCAAACAGGATGAAGATAGGGAATTAACCAATGACTTTTATAAGATACAAGTCAATAGTGACCTAGAAAAGTGTCATTTCAGTGGAGTTTGGGGCTGAGAACTGAATCAAGAGGATTAAGAGAATGGAACTATAGACAACTGTTTCAAAGAGTTGCACTGTACTGATAAGAAAAATGGGGCAATACCCTGAGGAGACAGTGAGGTTCAAGAGATTTTCCCTTAAGCATTTTATTATAAAATCTTCAAACATACAAGAAAGTTTAAAGAATTTCATAGTAAACATCCATATATTTACCCCTAAATTCTAAAATTAACATTGTACTATACTTCCTTTTCACACAACTATCTATCCTTAATATCCTAAGAGTGTTAATAATGTATGTATGTATTTGTGCCAATGAAAATTATCCAATAAGGGAGAAAGATACAATTCAAAAGAGAAAGATGATAATTACAAAAGCAAAGAATTGAGGAGGGGACAGGATCCAAAGCACAAGTAGAGAGGAAGGCCTTAGATAGACTCAGGCACGCTTGTAGTTTCCTGCTTAAAATCCTTCAAAGTCTAACATTTTTTCCAGAAAGTTAAATACAAACTCTTCATCCTGGAAAGGACTTACCCAATAGGATTCCAATATTATATCCCACTGCTTCCCTACATATGCCTTATATTCTGGTCAATTTGAACTACATGGAAAAATATATAAAACTATGGAAACATACTCTTTGAGCCCAGCTCAAACGCCAAGTCCTCCATGAAACCTTTCCTAATCTTCACCTCTTCCTGTCCACACCTCTCCAAATCAGATGTATGTAATATTTTCCTTGTTTAAAGTTTCATAAAGTGTTATTTGGCCTTCTATTTCAATTGGTGTGTCCTTTTCTTATGCTCCTTACAGCTTCAGAGCAGGAGCTGTCCTATTCTGCACATCTTCTGCTCTTAACACTATATATATATATGCAACAACTATTTTCTGAATCTGAGTGGAAAACATGAAGGTTAAGATTAAAAATGAAATTTTTGTGCTACCCACACACACACAAAAAATTAGATTTACTAAAAACAAACAAATAAGAACATGTCAAGTTTTGGCAGGTAGTGACAATAGGAAATTATTACAAAAATTATGAACAACTAACTAAATTAAACAGGAAACAAGCATAGCAGGAAATTATCAATTGGTTTAGCAAAGTCTATCTGAATGTGCCAGTAATTCTGTAAGATTAAAAGAGTGATGATCTACTAATAAGTGTTCAAGTGAATATAAATGGAGTATCATCCATTAAATTAGTCATGGATGAGCACCATATTGAGTTTTGGCCTTTATATAGCAAAAAGAATGTGAACAGCTTAGACAAAATTCAGTAATAAGTAAACCAGAAACTTGTTGTGGACAGACAGTACTGAAGGCAACCCTGAAATAACCCATGACAGGCTTTATGTGGTCTCTAGGTTACCACTGATTCTCAAGAAGGGAGGTGAGCTTCCAGGGCACGTGGATCTAGGGAGGGGCAAGAGGAATTTGTAAAGGCATTTTCACAATAACCTTAAGATATGTTGTTAATCATAGTATGTATTTTTAAATTGAGAAAAGAAATAAGATTATTTTGAAACAAGTTTGGCACTAGTTTAAAAAAGTTCAAAACACCACTTTGACAGGATCTTGAATGGTAATGGGCACGTAGTTTAAGCTGACAAAGCTGAAGCCTTTCCAGATACTCATTCTAAGTATTGCACTGTTGGAGTCGCAAAATAGAATTGAGCCACCCTTCACATAATCACCAGTTGAAAGGTGAAAATCATCTGATGGTGGGCCCAGTAACTTCCTGATGAGTGGAGAAGGTTAGTGAGGGTAAGAATGTAGGAGTGTTTATAGTAATATCTTTTCAACGTCTTTGATAACAGAATAAAGTGTGAATGAGAAAATATATTACACAGAAGAGGCAAGGAAATTTTCAAATATGGGAATATTTCTAAGCTCAGCTGTTCTTTCACAAATATTAAGTGCAAAAGAAAACATCAAACAGCAGCTATTTTTATAAGGCAACAGAAATTTCACAACAGTTCTACAATCATACCCGATTTGGTGTGCCAGGAAAGCACATATTTAAGTGTCCTATTCATATCTGTCAAACTAATTTATTGAGGCAACAGTTATCTTTCAATTCAAATATGATTTCTGAGCTAAGAGAGAAAATCTGGGCTGAGACAGCCAAAAGGAAGATTGAGAGTTAGGAAGAATCTCAAGGGAACTATCATTTTAGGCCCTGTCCCACCTCCCAGGGTCATTCTCCCTACATTTCCCATCACAGTGCAGTGGGCAGCCTGGCCAGGCCTGAACTCAAGTCCAGGCTCTGCCATGTACTGCACAACCTTGGAAAGTCATCTGGCCCCTCTGAACCTCCTGCCTCAACTATAAAATGGGGATAATACCTATCTGTGAGCGTTAAACAAAAATAGCTGTGCCAGGAACTTGGTAAAAGCTCAACAAACACTGTCATTATCACCATATTCCCCTGTAGAAGGTTCCTTGGATCCAAATGGTTGTTCAGGATCCTTGGAACCCATCACTTCCTCCAGATCTCACTCCCACTTAACCTTTGGATGAGAAAGGGAAGGGGATGGAGAGAAGAGGCCACGAGGTCTGAGGGCGGGAGAAGAAACCGCAGAGCAGGAGGAGCCAGGGCCAAGGCGAGGAGGGCCGCAGCCGGAACCTGGGGGTGGGGGTGCAGGAGGAGGGCCGGGCCCCGCCGGGGGTGTCGTCTGAGGGTCAGCCCCCACCCCGGGGTGTCATCTGAGGGTCGGGACCCCCCCCCACCCGTGGTGTCGTCTGAGGGTCGGGCCCCCTGGGGTGTCGTCTGAGGGTCGGGGGCCCCTCCGAGCAGAGTCTGAGGGTCGGGGCCCCCCAGAGTGTTGTCTGAGGTTGGGGGCCCCCCGGGGTGTCGTCTGAGGGTCAGGTCCCTGGAGCGGAGTCTGAGGGTCAGCCCCCACTCCACGGTGTCATCTGAGGGTTGGGACCCCCTCCCCCGTGGTGTCGTCTGAGGGTCGGGGCCCCCCAGGGTGTCGTCTGAGGGTCGGGGGGACCCCCATGGTGTCGTCTGAGGGCCGGGGCCCCCGGAGCAGAGTCTGAGGGTCGAGGGGACCCCCATGGTGTCGTCTGAGGGCCGGGGGCCACCTGTGGTGTCATCTGAGGGTCCGGGCCCCAGGAGAGGAGTCTAAGGGTCGGGCCCCTGGGGTGTCGTCTTAGGGTCGGGGCCCCCCCCCCGTGGTGTCGTCTTAGGGTCGGGGCCCCCCAGGGTGTCGTCTGAGGGTCAGGGGCCCCCCATGGTGTCGTCTGAGGGTCGGGGGCCCCCCGGGGTGTCGTCTGAGGGTCGGGGGCCCCCCGTGGTGTCGTCTTAGGGTCGGGGGCCCCCCAGGGTGTCGTCTTAGGGTCGGGGCCCCCCATGGTGTCGTCTTAGGGTCGGGGCCCCCCGTGGTGTCGTCTGAGGGTCAGGGCCCCCCAGGGTGTCCTCTGAGGGTCGGCCCCAGAGCGGAGTCTGAGGGTCGGGGCCCCCCCCGGGTGTCGTCCGAGGGTCGGGCCCCCCCCCCCCGGGCTGTCGTCTGAGGGTCGCGGCACCCGGAGTCGAGTCTGAGGGTCGGCCGGGGCAGATGGCGGAGGGCGGAAGGCGGGCCGGGGAGCTGGGCGAGGCCGCGGGCAGCAGCCGCGGAGTCCAGGCCGCGTGGCCGGCCGCCCTCGCGTCCCCTCAGGAAAATGAGGCGCGGACGACCGGGGCGGCAGAGCCATTCTGGGTCCCATTACCGGAGCCGTTGGGGCCGATGATGCAGGTGAACTTCCTGAAGGGGCCGATAACCTGGGAGCCCCGCCACGACTTAAAGTTCTCCACGAGCAGCACCTCCAAACGGCCCATGGCTGCGCCCTCCGCGTCCTCACACGCCGGCGGGAAAAGCGCGGGAAGCACCTCTCGACGTCTCGCGAGAGGAAAGAGGCCGCGGCGAGCGCCGCGCCGTTCCTTAGCAACCGGCGTTGTTGACGTCTCCGCGGAAACCGGCCTTCGCACCGTCCGCGGGCGCGAGCGAGCGGGTCTCAAGGCCTCGGAGCAGGCTCGTATCCCACCGGCGCAGCCTCGCTGGGGCTTCTCGCACGTGTTTAAACCTCTTGGAATCTCTTGGCGATTCCCAGTCATGGAGGTAGCGCAGCCCAAGGACCTGGAGCAGGAGTTTCGCTTGGCCAGGAGGAGGCATGCGGAGCTGTGCAGGCAGAAGCGGGTCTTCAACGCCCGGAGCAGGATCATCGGGGTGAGACCCTCGGGCCCGAACGGGAAAGGGGCCAGGAGGGAATGTGGAGGGGCTGGTGGGGGGGCCAGAGAGGCGGGCGGCGGCGGCGAAGAGGAGATGAACCCTTGGAACGAGACCTCTGATCCGGGCACAGCTGCAAACGGCACCAGGCTTTGCAGGGGAAAACCAGTTCGATGCATTGACTTTGCCCTATGGGAGAGACCCTAACAGACCAAATCATGCACGCTCTCACTTGCCAGACAGGCAGATGGAGTCCTGCAGCGGCGAGGGAGCTTGCCTGGAGTTAGTGGCCAAACGGAGCCAGAACACGGTTCTCCTCTCTCTGAGCCAGATTTTCTACATTGCCAAGGGTTCTTTCCAGTCCATTCGTTTGACAAATGCCAATGGAATTCCTGTTTTGTGGCAAGCCTGAGCTGGGTCCAGGAGATGAGGAATAAGGCAATCCATGACTTTTCAGAGTTCATGGCCCATCGGGGGAGGCAGGCGTTAAAATGGTCCCATTAAAATGTAGTGGAATTATCGCTATGAGGGAGGGGAACACAGGGTGCCACAGGAGCACGGACTGGGGCTGGGAGAGGAAATCAGAGGGGGCTTCCCAGAGGAGGTGATGCCTAAGCAGTGTTCTGAGGATGAGTATCTGTTAACTAAGACAAGGAGGGAAGGAAGCTCTGGGGAAAGTTAAGAGGACAGGCTGAAGAACCAACTATAAGCAAAAGCATCCAGCTATGAAAAGACCTGATGTGTACCTAAGACAATTTGTTTACAGTGGGGCAAGGCTAAAAAGATAAGTAGGATTGTTATCAACTGAATAAAGTTCTCTGGCTCTCTTTCCTCTTGTTTTCCGTTCCCAGGGAGACACAGAAGCCTGGGATGTTCAGGTTCATGACCAGAAGATAAAGGAAGCAACTGAAAAAGCTAGACATGAAACCTTTGGTGAGCATTTCCTGAATGCCTGTCTGGTGGTTTAGGGCTGTGTGCCTTTAGTCTCTAGCCCTTTTTTCTTCACTTATGTAAAAACTTGTCATTTCATGCTCTTCTTCCTTTTAAATTTTCATCATTTCTTGTGCTCAATTAACTTAATGCACTAATTCTTCCTTTCCTAAAAGAAAAACAGCTGTTGAATTCTATGTGGGTTGTAGGAAATATATTTTGAGAATAAATCTGTTTTTCTTTGTTTTCTTAAAAAACTGGAAATGAAAAACCTTAAACACACACGCATTCTCTGCCAAAAAGCTCAAGACCTGCTAATGAGGATAGCTGTCTACACTAGATGACACACACTCTCCAGAGCTTACGCCCCTGAGCTGACTCAGAACTAGATATGGTTCAAATAATAGTGTTCCAGCTCTTAGATCAAATTTCCAAATAGAATTCATTTTCCTCCACCATGTCCAACAATTTCAGCTTATTTTTTAAGGCACCATAAGGATTTTTAAAAGAGAAAAAAGCAGGATACAAAATTGTGTATACAATGGGTAATCAATTAAGTTTAAAAATATATGCAGTCATGTGTCACTTAACTATGAGGACAGGTTTTGAGAAAAGCATAGTTAGGTGATTTCCTTGTAGTACGAAGATCATAGAGTGTACTTACACAAACAAATGGTATAGCCTACTACACACCTGTGCTAACCTTATGAGACCACCGTCATAAGTGCTGTCCATCATTGGCTGAAATGCATCGCATGACTGTAAAAATATGCTTAGAAAAAAGACAGAAAGGAAATACACCAAAATGTTAGCAGTGGTAATGTTAAAGTGATGGTCTGATGAGTGAAATTTATTTTCTTCTTTATACTGTTCCATATTTTCTAAACCTTTTACTGTTTTTTATTTTAGTTTTAAAATAATTCAAACTTAACAAAAACAATGTGACAGACACATACATACCCACCACCAGATTAGATGTTAACATTTGCCAAATAGGCTTTAGATATCTTATTTTTAAGAACACTTTTTGAGAATTAAATGTTATATATAGAGAGAGAGAGCTAAAGCTCTCCCCCGCCTCATCAGTTTCCTCTTCCTCCCTCCTCAGACATATGCATCATTCCCAGGCATGTTTTTTGTACTTGTACTATTTATGTATGTATCTGTGACAATATAAAATTTTTTTATGTGTGTGTTTTAAAATTTTACATCCATGGTATCATATTAAATGGATCCTTTGTAACATTTTTTTAATTCGGCAGTGTATTTTTAGAATTAATCAGTGATCTACATATAATTTTAATTGTTTTATGATATTTTGTTATATGATTTAATCACAATTTCTTTATCCATTCCCCTATTGATGGCCGATTTAGATTTTTTCCAGTTTTTTAATAATTGCAAAAAATGCTGTGATGACTATTCATGCATTACGTCCTTAGTGTACATGAGTGAGAGATACCTAGAAGTGGAATTGATAGGTCATAGGATATGTATATTTTTAGTTTTATGAGATATTGGCAAATTGCTTTCCAAAGTTATAAGTATACCAGGTTACACTCCTGCAAGCAGTGAATGAAAAATCTTGTTTCCCCACATCCTTATTAATATGTGCTATTATTAGTATTTTAAATATTTTGCCAGTTCATTGGATGTTTCCCATCTTGTGAAGCTGATCATCTTTTCACAAGTTTGCTGGTCATTCAGATTTCTTTATAGTGGTTTGCCTTTTCCTATCCTTTGCCCATTTTTTGGTAGGGTTGTTTGTTGGGTTTTTTTAAATTGATTTGTAGATGCTCTTTGTATATTCAGGATACTAATCCTTTAATGATTATGTTACCTTTTGGGAGGATGGGATTACTTTTATTTATTTATTTTATTTTATTTTTTTTAGGGAGATCGGCCCTGAGCTAACATCTGCCAATCCTCCTCTTTTTGCTGAGGAAGACTGGCCCTGGGCTAACATCCATGCCCATCTTCCTCCACTTTATATGGGACACTGCCACAGCATGGCTTGCCAAGCGGTGTGTCGGTGCATGCCTGGGATCCGAACTGGCGAACCCCGGGCTGCCAGCAGAGCGCATGCACTTAACCGCTGGCGCCACTGGGCTGGCCCCTGGGATTACTTTTAGAATCACTAAAAATTATTTTTTAGGGTGGATTCAAATTTATATTTTCCTGTGAATCTGAAGCTAATGGATGTGCTATGTCCCTTCTAGCTGCTGAAATGAGGCAAAATGACAAAATCACATGCATATTAGAAGACCGGGAAAGGAGAGATAGGAAAAATCTGTGTAAAGCCATCAATGACTTCCAGCAGCGCTTTCAGAAGCCAGAAACTCGCCGTGAATTTGACCTATCTGACCCGCTAGCCCTTAAGAAAGATCTTCCAGCCCGGCAGTCAGATAATGATGTTCGGAATACAATATCGGGAATGCAGAAATTCATGGGAGAGGATTTAAACTTCCATGAAAGGAAGAAATTCCAAGAGGAACAAAACAGAGAGTGGTCCTTGCAACAGCAAAGGGAATGGGAGAATGCCCGTGCCCACCAAAAATGTGCAGGTAATGAAATAAAAAAGACTGTTTGGTCTCAATACTTTCTTCAACAAATCAACCCCTTGTTTTTTTCTTGTTTCGTTTTTGTCTTCTAAGTCCTACTAATGTGCTGCTTTGGCCGTGTGGCCAAGAGACATCAGAGCCTGCATTCCAGGATTTAAACGTCTTCAGTCACCTGTCAGTCATTCAGGGAACGCTGTCTGAGCTTGTGCACTGTGTCAGGGCTCTAGTTGGGTGCTGGAGCGCAGAGTGACTCAGAATGGTCCCTGTGCTCAGTGTGTTCACAGTCTGCTGGGAAGACAATGGGAAATACATAGGTCTAGCCTACAGTATGAGTCCCGTAAGACACTCTAATCATCCCCCAACCTGACCTTCCACCTCCGTCAGTGGGAACTCCATTCTTCTAGTTGCCCAGGCCCCAACCCCAAGTCATCTTGACTCCTTCCTTTCTCTCAGATGCCACATTCAGCCCAGCAGCAAGTCATCTCAAATTTCGACTGCCTTTCACCACCTCTGCCATTACCACTCTGAACTCAGCTATCAACATCTCTCAACTGGATTATTGCAGTAGCCCCCAGCAGTCTCCCTGCTTCTGCCCTTGTCCCCTGTGGTCTCTTCTCAACCCAGCATCCAGAACAATCCTGTTAAAAGTTAACCTAGATCCTTCACTCAGAACCTTCCAATAGCTTCTCATTTCACTCAGTAAAAAGAAAATTTATTTCAAGGACCAATGAGGCCTTCACAGTCTGACTTTATCTCCTACTATGCTGCCCTTCATTCATTTCATCGTCATCACACTGGCTTCCTCGCTATTCCTAGATGAGTATTTCAGGCTCATGTCTGCCTCGGGGCCTTTGCACCTATGGTTCCCTCTGCCTGGAAACATATTTTCCCAGATATCTGCATGGCTTGCTCCCTCTCCTCCTTCAGGTCTTTGCTAAAACGTCATCTCGTCAGTGAGACCTCCCCTCACCACTCTGTTTTAAATTGCAACTCTCTCCCCTCCGCCATCCCTTCCTTTGCTTTATTTTCCTCCACAGCGTTGATCACTGACATACTTTGTGGTTGTGTATTTCCCATCCCTCTCCCCAGTATCATATCCTAAGCCCAATGAAGGCAGGAGATTTCATCTGTCTTGTTCACTGCTATATCCTTAGTTCCTGGCACACAGAGAAATATTTGTTAAAATAATGCACTCATAGGACTTTAAAAAGCACGTCCATCTCCCAGGTGCTCCACATTTCCGTCTCTGGCTGAGAGCCTCTGTCTCAGCCTCGGACTCGGTCCTTGAGCTGCCTCCTTGATACCTCACCAGACATCTCACACACTGGAAACTAACCCTGAATTTCTCTCTGAATCTGCTCCTCCCTCCCTCTCCCTCCCTTCACTCGGTGACTCCTCCTTCCCTTAATCAAGCCAGAAACCTGCGAGTCATCCTTGATGACTTGTCTCCAGGCCTCCTCTGCTCCTGTCCCTTCTACCCCTGCATGTATTTAGAGCTGTCCACTTCTCCACCCTACTGTCACCACTGTGGCACAAGCCGCCACCCTTTTCCACCTGGCTGGGCCATGCCGAGGGCGTTCTAACGGTCTTCCTCTTTCCTTCTTGCCCCTCTCCAGTCCATTCTCAACGTAGCAGTCTGAGTGCTACATTTTAAACAATGTCAGGTTGAACAGTGTCACCCCCACTCCCTCCATCCCAGCTTAAAACCCTCTGATGGCCTCCCGTTACATCTGGAATAAAATGCAAACTCCTCCCGCAGCCTGCAAGGCCCTGCATGCTGGGGCCCCTGCTCAACCCTCCAATATCACCTGCCCCCCGCCCCGCACACTCCACTCACTGTGTCCCAGCCGTCCCGGCTCTCTTTCCCTTCTGGATCCCAACGACTCCTTCCCCACTTCAGAACCTTTCCTCCTGCTCTCTTGTCGTTCAGGCCTCAGCTTAAATGCCGCCTCCTCCTGAAGAAGCTCTCTCGTATGCCCACCTCCAATTACCTAAGTCAGGTGTTTCCAACATTTTCCCTCTTAGTATCCTTCCCTCCAAGCACTGTCATAATTTGTGTTAATACATCTGTGTCGGGGCTCATTTGTTTATTATCTGTCTCATCTCCTGATAGTATGTTCCAGGAAAACAGGAATGGCCCCCTGTGTCTCACCCACCGCTACATGGGATGTTCCCAGCAAAGTGTGCAGCCCATGTTCGGTTCTTGATAGCTCTCTGTTTAATGAATGGATGGATAAAGGAAAGGTGGGAGATGGAGCTGAGGGTGAGCAGAGGCTAGGAATTCCCCACTGAAGAGTGTGGTCTTTGTTTTTAGAGATGCTGAGGAGACCCACAGGGCACAAACTCCATATGAAGAACCTCTGATCAATGACACTTTTTAAAATTATTATTTTACTGAGGTCATAATAGTTTATACCATTGTGAAATTTCAGTTGTACGTTATTATTTGTCAGTCACCGTATATATGTGCCCCTTTACCCCTTATGCCCACCCCCAACCCCCTTCTCCTCTGGTAGCCACAATCTGTTCTCTTTGTCCATGTGTTTGTTTATCTTCCACATATGAGTGAAATCATGTGATGTTTGTCTTTCTGTCTAGCTTATTTCACTTAACATCATACCCTCAAGGTCCATCCATGTTGTTGCAAATGGGACGATTTTGTCTTTTTTTATGACTGAGTAGTGTTCCATTATATATACACCACATCTTTATCCATTCATCAGTTGATGGGCACTTGGGTTGCTTCCACTTCTTGGCTATAGTGAATAATGCTTCAATGAAATAGGGGTGCATAAGTCTCTTTGAATTGTCGATTTCAAGTTCTTTGGATAAATACCCAGTAGTGGGGGTAGCTAGGTCTTATGGTATTTCTATTTTTCATTTTTTGAGAAATCTCCATACTGTTTTCCACAGAGGCTACACCAGTTTGCATTCCCACCAGCAATGAATTAGGGTTCCTTTTTCTCCAAATCCTCTCCAACATTTGTTGTTTTTTGTCTTGGTAATTATAGCCATTCTAACAGGTGTAGGTAATATCTCATTGTAGTTTTCATTTTCATTTCCCTAATGATTAGTGATGTTGAACATCTTTTCATGTGCCTGTTGGCCATCTGTATATCTTCTTTGGAAAAATGTCTGTTCATATCCTCTGCCCATTTTTTGATCGAGTTGTTTGTTTTTTTGTTGTTGAGTTATATGAGTTCTTTGTGTATTTTGGAGATTAACCCCTTGTTGGACATATGATTTGCAAATATTTTCTCCCAGTTGGTGGGTTGTCTTTTCATTTTGTTCCTGGTTTCCTTTGCCTTACAGAAGCTCTTTAGTCTGATGAGTCCCATTTGTTTATTTTTTCTTTTGTTTCCCTTGTCCGAGCAGACATGGTATTCGAAAAGATGCTGCTAAGACTGATGTCAAAGAGTGTACTGTCTATATTTTTTTCTAGGAGTTTTATGGTTTCACATCAATGACACTTTTTTAATGTAACCAGCCTGCAAAGTAGGTGTTGTCCTGCTCCACAGGTAAGGGCTGGAGGCTCAGAAATGTTGCACAGTCGTTCAGGTTTACAGAGCTAGGAAGTGTCTGGGCTGGGGTAGGAGCCTGCTCTGTCTGACTCCAAATCTTCATGTTTTGCTGTTTGGACTCACCACTTTGGCCCCTTCTCCTCCTCCTCTTCCTCATTGGCCTGGAAAATTCCTACTGCCATTCCCCCTCCTGTTACCTGACACCCCCTCCTCTGGGGAGCCCCATCTGGTTCCCACAGCAGAGCTCCCCTTTTTCTGGGCTCCCACCATCCCTTGCCCACTATAAGGATGATAGGTCAAGGATCTATCTGCTCGCCCTCTTACTGCCCCCCCTTCCAATGCCAGGACCACAGCAGACATTACTAGTCTATCACAGATGTTACCAATCCACAGTAGTGATCACTAACACTCAGTACTGATCTAAGAGCTTTACTTGAATTAACTCATCTGAGTCTGCCAGCAGCCTTCCAGGGCATCCCTGCTCTGTGGATGAGGGCATGATAAGAAGTGGATGTATGAATGGACACTCCACAGGGTGCTCTGCAGGCCTGGGAAGGAGCTCTGGGTGGGCACGCTCGGTTTGACTGTGCTTTGCTTCCTTTCAGAGGACCTCTACATGAAGACAAGGCTGCAGTTTGACCAAACAGCCATGCATTTACAGAATCTGGAAAGTGCCACCAGAAAGGCGGTTTGTGCAGCAGTGAAAGAATTCAACAAGAGCCAGGTATACCCCGGGCTCAGTGTCTGGACAGGAGGAAAGCATACAGCCGCTTCCTTGGGGCACCCCAGCCTCCCTGGGTCCCGGGCTCAGCCCATTCACTGGGTCACATCACGAACCCTGACAGGGCCCTGCCAGGGGCTGCCCAGTTACAGCAATGGAGGAGAGCCAGGCTCTGCTCCTTAGCTTTGAATCTGGGCCTGAAACCTGACAAAACTAGCCATGCAAACTGGGGGGTCAATTCACCTTTCCAAACCTCGTGTCATTCTTCTGTGACACGAGGACAGTGACATCTACCTACACGGATACCACCTAGCGCTGCTCTGATGCCTGCTCTGGGTTCCAGTTCTTTACCACTTACCAGGAACAGGCCCACAGGCCCCCATTACAGGGAGCAACTATTATGATGATTATTAGCACAAACTTTGGGGGTCTCCTGACAGTTCCCTCCCCCTAAACTCTGCCCAATTTCCTCCAAACACTCCTCTCCTTGCCAATCCCACGCTGAAGTTGCTTCAAGTTCTCTATTCCTTTTGGAGGTTAGACTCCCTATCCAGGTTTTCTTTCCAAATGCAGTTATATTCCTGGGTGGGGTGGGGCTTGGCCTGGACTCATTGATCAGATTAGCTGGTTGACCAGAACCATGGTCTGCAAAGGAGAGTGTGCAAGATGAGCCACTGGAGAGTAGGAAGAAGATATTGGAACTCTGCTTCGTATTTATTTTTAACCCCATCGTTTTTCATTCCCATGTTTGTGTGTGTGTGTATTATGAAGTACGTGCTATTTTTATGGTCTAATAGTACCACGTTGTGAACTAAATATATTGGAGACACAGGCTCAAAAATGTTCTATTGATGGGGGTATGTAATCAAAAATCCTGGAGCTGCTAGACCGGAGACTAGAGAGAATGTTGATTTTCAACCGCGGGGGAGAGGGACAAGGAGGGCAAACTGCCAGAGATGGGGAGGGGCAGCCAAAGGGCAGAACCAAGGCCCCTGGAGCCCAGGCCACCAAGCAGCAAGCCGCAGGAGGTCTTATAGATCGTCTGGCCCTTGCCCTTCATTTTACAGATGAGGCCCAAGAGGAGAGGTCCTTTGCTCCAGGCCCCACAGCAAATTAATGGCTGAATGGGGCTCTTGATTCTTCGCCCACTATCGGCTGGTCATCCATTCATTCATTTATTCACTTGTTCATTTATTAATTCAACAGATATTTATTGAGCCCTCCTGCTGGGCACTAGTATGTTTTTTGCTAAACCATGTTGCTGCATTCATCAATTTATTTATTCATTCATTCCATAAAATTTTTAGTGTGCACCGGCAACATGCTGGCCTCTCAGGTCCCCCGTCTCCTCACGAGGACTCTGTGAGACCCCTCTGCCGGGGGAAAGCTGTCTCCAGCTTCTGCAGCTCTGTTCCTGACTAGAAATAAGCTTTGCTAATTAGCCTGGGACGTTAATACAAGGGTCTTGATAACTGTCCTCAAAAGATTCCAAGCAGGTCGGTCCAGTTCAGCAGGGGAGACACCCACTGGGGAGGCCCCGGTTCTCAGCGAGGGGCACTCATTTCATTAGGGAGGGGATGTGGTTTCGGGGATAGTGTGCAGGCTCATGAGCCCGACTGCGCGGGTGCGAGACCAGGCTTTTGTCTGTAGCCTTGGAAGAGCCACCTGAGTGCCTCCGTCTTGTCATCTGCAGAGTGGGGACAGTGATCACACCCACCTAGGCCAGTCAGAATGAGCTAACACGTGCAGGGTAAGAACGCCTCCCGCATCTCAGTGGCTTAAAACGCGAAGTTGCCGTTCATCATGCTCCATGTCCATCACGGGCTGGCTGAGTGGCTCTGCTCCTTGTGCTCCCCACCCTGGCGCCCGGGCCTTGGGACAGAGCAGCCACCAGCCAGAGGACTCCAGCAGCACAACAAAGAAGGAACGTGGCCGATCCCCCCAGCCCCCGTGTCCTCCCAAAAGCGTACCAGTCACCTCTGCTCACATTTCATTGGTCAAAGTTAGCCACAGGGCCACGCCCACTCTACGTGGGCAGAGGAGCGCGGTTCTGCCACACGCCCAGAAAGAGCACTGGCCACATTGAGTGACCAGCAGTGATGGCTGTCACATGTGCTCGTGAGGTTGTTGTGGAATTAGACTAGGTAGCACACGTAACATATTAGGACGTCCGGCACATTATCAGGACTCAGTCAATGATGGCAATTATTTTTAATCCTAGCAACAGTTAGCTGCTCCTATCAGTCACTGTGTTCAATGACCCTACCAGAGGGGCATGATTAATTGATAAAGAAATGGGCTCAGAGTGGGGCACTGACTGTCTTAGGGACACTCAAGTAGTGACTGGCAAGTCCAGGATGTGAATCCAGGCCTGTCCAGCTGCAAAGCACGTGCTTCTGTGACGCAATCAAGCTGGCCCCATCATGGGCACCCGTGGGGTGCCAGGCACCTTGCAAAGTGCCCTGTGCGTTCATTACTATAGAGATCTGATAACACTGAAAAATGGCTCTTAATCCATCTCCTGACTTTACAGAGAAATGGCTGCAGCCCAGAGAGGGGAGTGACTTGCTCCAGGTGACACAGCCAGGGCCTGTTCCCTCCACTCATCACCCTCACTTGAGCAGGGATTTGGCCAGGAATTTATTTGTGCCTGGGGCCTGTGGCTGACAGGCATCGGGAACGCTGAGGTGACAATACATTTTCACCTTTTAGAAGTCACCACTGTTGTGAATCACTCTGTTGGGTGTTCTTTGTGGCCTGAAGCCATCCAAGGATGACCAAGGCCACAGGGAGGGGCACAGAGCCCTGCCCTGGGGTGAGTGAGACCAAGCCGAGGGGAGCTGGCTGCCTAACCAGGGAGGCAGCTCCCTGCTTTGGCAAATCTGTGCAAAGACCTACAGCTCGTATGCACACAGCCAGCAGGTAGCGATTCCCTCAGCCCAGCCCAGCATCATCCAGGCAGCTAGCGGTCCGAGGGCCTCCCCACATCCATGCTGACAAGTCTGCCACCCCCCACCCACCCCATCCCTGGTGTCCTTTAGTGCACTCTTCCTTCAAGAGTCCCGGTGAGATTTGCCGGCCTGTGCCTCAGGCCCCCTAGGGTCACTGGGAGCATCTTCCTCACTGTCTTCCCCTGCATAGGCCTTGGAGTCAGCGGAAAGGAAAATTCAAGAGAAAAAACAAGAACAAGAGGACAGCCTGGCGGAGATCTCCAACCTCCTGCGTGGGGACCTGCTCTCCGAGAACCCGCAGCAGGCAGCCAGCTCCTTTGGGCCCCACCGCGTGGTCCCTGACCGCTGGAAGGGCATGACCCGGGAGCAGCTGGAGCAGATCCGCCTGGTTCAGAAGCAGCAAGTCCAGGAGAAGCTGGTGCCTGCCCCACCCATCCTCACAGAGCTCGCAGACGCAGCTCTTTCCTGCGGCTTTCCTCTGCCTTCCTCGAGCGCACCTAGTTAAAGCCGATGTTACACTCGGCACTAGAAGCTGCGCTCAAGGAGTTTGTGTTCTAGTGGGGGGAGATGACAAGAGCCAGATAACCCCATACATGTATTATGTAGCTTCACAGTGAGTGCCTAGGAGGAAAATAAGGCTGGGCAAAGGAGATTGAGAGAGCTGGGCAGAGGAGGGTCATCAGGGGACTGAGAAGTGACACCGGAACAAAGACCTGAAGGAGGGGAGGGAGCGAGCCATGCAGATATCTGGGGAAAGGACGACCAGGCAGCATGAACTGCAAGGGCAAAGGCTTTGAGGCAGGATCATCCTGACCTGTTCAGAGAAAAGTGAGGAGCCTAGTGGCTGGAGTGGACTGAGGGGCAGGAGAACGTCCAAAAGGAGGGCCGAGGTCCTGGTGGGCCATTGGGGAAGACTGGCTTTTCTTATGACTTTGAGGGGGAGCTCTGGAGGGTTCTGAGCAGAAGAGTGGCATGGTCTGACTAACATTTAACGAGATTCGTCTTGCCGCAATGTTGAGGGTGGACTCTGGGGGTCGGGGGGAAGGAGAGAGATCGCTGGGGAGGCTTTTGCAGTGGTCGAGGTGAGAGATGATGCTGGCTGGATCCAGGGCGCTGGCAGTGGGGCTGCTGAGAAGTGGTTGGATTCTGGACCTATTATCTTGAAGAAGGAAAATGGCTACTGGGGGACAAGTAATATTTTCTGCCACAACCTCTAAGTAAAACCCACTTAGCAGCTGGACCTACAGTCTGGAGCTCAGAACAAGGTCTGGACGAGATCACGCAGGGAGTGAGTGTTGACAGAGGAGAAGGGATCTGAGGACTGAATCCTGGGACCCTCCTGACCTTATAGAGAGCCAAGGGGCCTGAGAAGGAGCAGCCAGAGAGGGGGGAGGGACGCAAGTGGGCGTGAACTGGAGGCCACGCGAGGGGAAACGTTTTGGAAGGAGAGTGGGAACCCCTGGCTCAAACGCCGCTGCTGGGCTCCGACTGGATGCTGGATCCCGCACGGTGACAGTCACATCTTTACTGGAGGGGTGGAGGTGACGGCCTGTGTAATGGGCTCGAGAGAGAAGGGGCAGGAGGAAGACAGACAGCAAATGCAGACAACAGTTTCAAGGCACTTTGCTGTAAAGGGTGCAGAGAAATGGGGTGGTAGCTGTTGGGGGACATGGGGTCACGGGGGAGTTGTTTGTTTTGCTGATTGTAGAAATAACAGCATGCTTATCATTCCATGAGAGGGATGCAATAGAGGAGAGAGACTTGCTGCCACCATGTCCCGGGGGTGGCAGGAGAACAAGGGACTCAGCACCAGTTGAGGCTTGGCGTGGACAGGAGCTCAGACTGATCACCCTCGGCCATGGGGGTGGGGGTGAGGGTGGGGTGTGTTGGTGTGGAACTTGTGGGGTGTCTCCTGGAGAAACAGGACAGGAGGTCAGCTGCTGAGGGTGAGGAATCCGGGTTGGGGACTTGAGGACCGAGAACAAGGTGCTAAGTGGTCGTCTGAGATAGCTGGAAAGGATTGCCCAGGGGAAGGGGCAGGATGGCCAGGCAGCGCCCAGGGCCCACTGGAGGCTCGTGGTCATGAACTTGAAGTGACCCCTGAGCACAGCCATGCTCAGCTGTAAGGGGAGAATGGGGATTCACCATGGTCAGGGCTCGCCGGGAAGTCTGAGAGTCTTCCTGAGCAAGAGGCTCAGGGACGCGAGGTGCCTGCCAGGGGTGTCGGCTGTGGACACCGGGCTGAACGAGGAGGGAGATGAGGACGCAGGGCACCAGGGACAGTGGAAAAGTATGCGGTCAGTGGATTGGGGGTCATGGGGGTAGAATAACTGTTGGATCAGGGTGCTGGAGAGAGAGCGGAAGAGGCAGGTTAGCATGGTGGCGAAGGGGACGCTTGAAGGTGAGACTAGGGAGCGTGGCGTTATTGGTAATGACAAGGCAAGGGCAGAGGTTCTCAAAGTGGGGTCTCCAACCAGCAGCATTGGTGTCACCGGGGAACTTGAGAGAAATGCAGATTCTCAGGCCCTGCCCCAGACCTGCTGAATCAGAAACCCTGCAGTGGGGCCCATGGGCAGTGCTTAGCAAGCTCCCCAGGGATTGCGATGCCCCTGGAGTTCAAGACCGCTGGTGGGGTGTGCCCAAAGGGTGATAGCTGACAGGTTGGGACGAGGTCTTTGGAGAGGAGGCAGAACCACTGAGAGGTCAGAGAAAGGAAAGAGTCCCCTCTGTGCACTGAAATTGCTCAAGATTGCAGCAGGAGAGAGATCTGGAGAGGTTCTCAAACCCACAAAGAGTGGATGGAGCTGCCCCAGGGTCGGCAGATGACCGCACAGGTGGGGTGGCAGGTGCCGTGGTCTGTGTGAGCTTCCAAGCAGGCAGGTGCAGGGGGAGGGGCAATGGCAGTGGCCCAGGAGATGAGGAGCAGGTGGGACAGCTCACCTGCCTGCTCACCTCCAGGCCCAGAGGTGCAAATGTCTGTGAGAGGCTGCAGCGGCGTGGGAGCCGAGGGCAGCTGGGGGTGGGCAGGGAAGCAGCCCTGGGTGGGAGGAGCCCTGAGGTCGGCGTCAGGATACAGGGAATGCTGGTCACCCTTGCAAGGCCCTGCTCTGTCCTTCAGCCCTGCAGTTCAGCCCGACTGTCCGGCAAGGAAGGTCGGCCATCTGTCCTGAAAGCAGCATTTTTGTCTGACTCTCAATCTTTGTAGAAAATTAAGACAGAAAAGCACAAAGGGAAAAATCCCATATTAAATCTCACCACTCAGAATACTCCCCTCCCCTCACCCCCACATGCCTCTCCGTGGCCTCTCTTCCCGCCTCCTTTTCTGTGCATGGAGATAATTTGACAAGTGAGATCATGCGAAGAATATTTAGGTTGTCTGTCTGTCTCTTAGTCCAGGCCAGTGTGTCTCCATGTCATTCTGTATTCTTGACAAAGTGTCTTGTGTCATGACTCAGCACCTTACAGGTGAGGAAACTGAGGCTCAGAGGAGCAGTGTGACTTGCCCCATAGGAGGCAAAGCCGGCCACCAGCCTGCCTTCCAGTCCGTGGATGGGGGCCAGGACCTCTGCCTGCCCTCCTGACCCTGCTGGCCAGCTGACCCAGGCCTGCGGGCCCACTGGCCACTGGACCCCTGCTCACCCGGCGGGAGGAAGCTCTGCCCTGTAACCCACGGGGAGAAGCAGGGGTGCTGGTCTTCAGGCCCAGCCGCGGCTTTTCCTTCCTTGTGCTCCTTCCTGGAGAAGGGTGAGCTGACAAAGTAATTCACCCTCAGGACAGCTGACAAACTGCTCTCGATTGGTGGTGGTGGTGGGGGTGACCCCTCCCCTCTGCATTCATCCAGTTTCCTCTTCCAGGACTCAGTGGTCTTTATAGAGGGGTCTAGCAGGCAATTAGGAATGAGCTGAGATGCAGAAATTCATCCCCAAGACCCAAGAGCCCATCGTTGTCCCTGGGTGGGGCTGCGGCATCTGTACGTTCTAGAAGCGACCAGGTGACCCAGTGTTCAGCCAGGTGGAGCAGCCTGCCCCACTGGTAGCGTCCGGGGTGCGGAGGACCTGACTCGCGGCCCTGCACACGCAGCCCCCTCAGGGCTGGGAGCCGCTGTGGGAACTGAGTCCCTGCTGTCCCCTCAGGCCTCAGAGGGGCGGCCAACGCCTCCCAAGAGTGGGAAGCAGCTGGGCCACCTGAAATGATGGCAGGCGGGGGTCCCCTCTGATTTCCTGCGTGGCCTTGCCCACCTACCCCCCCTTCTCTGAGCCTCAGTTTCCCCACCCGTAACATGAGAGGCCGGTTCTCCTAGATGATCCCCTGGGGCTCTCCTGCTGGAGACAGGTGGTGATGAGTCACCTCTCCTCTCTCCAGAGGCTGCAGGAAGAAGAGCGCCAGCGAGACATGGACTGGGACCGGCGGCGGGTTCAGCGGGCGCGCGCCGTCCTGTTGTCTGAGCGGCAGCAGCAGCGGCAGCAGCGTGACCTGCGCAGGGCCCTGGACTGCAGCAACCTCAGCCTGGCCAAGGAGCAGCTTCTGCAGTGAGCGTGGGCGGGGCCTGGGAGGGGGCGGCGGAGGGGAGTTGGGGGAGGAGTGACCGGGTTAGGGTCAAGGGGAGGGCAGGTGGGGCTGGGGGGCGCCAGAGGGGAGATCAGGCTGGTCGTGGGGAGGTTGGGGGCAGGCCGTGTAGAGCCTATGGAGCAGGCACCCAGCTTTCCTGGGGCCCTGGCCCACCCTCCCTGAATCTTTCCCACCCAGAGGACCGTGGGTGTGTATTGCACCAGAGGCCCCATAGTGACTGTAGTTTGGGCCGTGGCACAGCCTCCGGGTAAAGAATTCAAACAGAAAGGGGGGAAGGGCTCAGAGCTAAGAAGCCGGAAATTAAGTACTTGGAAACCAGTGGTCTCCACACGGGCGGGGTGACTGAGATTCCATTGCACTTTCATCCTGTAAACACCCCCTCCCTGGGCGGTCCTCAGCCGGGCGCCCAGCGGGCTCGGACATGGATGCTGGTGATGGAGTGCACAGAGGGCACAGGGAGCCCCTGGGGAGGGCGCTGAGTGGGCCTGGGGGAGTCGGGAAAGCTTCCCGGAGGAGGCTGCCTGGCTCAGACGTGGAGGAGGAGGACGGTGCCAGCCGCCCTCTGCGGGGAGGGCTCTCCGGGCAGAGGGAGGGTCTCTTGGGCTGCCAAGAACCAGCCTGGAGTCTCGTCTTCATACAGACAGGCCCCAAGAGTAGTTCAGAGTTCCAGCTACAGGAAGTGTCAAATGCAGATCGGTAGGTGGACTTGTCACTAAAAAACACATCATTTATTCACTTATTTGTCTCTATTCATCAAGCTCTTGGCTTGAACTCAGGAGGGGCCCACTGGTCTTTTCTCCAGTGCGACATCTGTTTATTGGTGGGTCCAGCGTTGGCTGGTCGCTTCTGTTGGGGGCCTAAACAGAGCATTAAGAGATGATCTGACGGAAATCCAATGGGATGAGCGAATGTCTTTACAGTCAGACCATGGAGATTTAATTCTAAGATATCCCCAAATCTCGCTGGCGCCAGTCCCCAATCTAGCTGCTCTGCGATGGTGACACGCCCCTCTCCTCCACCCTTGAGCTCACAGGGCCGGAATGCATTCTGTATCCTGTGATAACACACTGAGAAAAAGTTTGTAGCCTTTTTCCTATATAAAAAAATTAGAATATTTAGGAAGTCAGGCATTTGCTGATATTTTTTCTCCTTATTTTATTATCAGGAAAAAATATATGAAGGAAGTCTATACAAATCATCCCACTGAAGATTATTTCACACAATTTAATACAAGAAGTCGATGATGAAAAAGACAATTTTCCCCTCTGAATCATTTATGTTTAAAATAAAGTAACCTCGAAGAGTCACATTTGTTAAAAAAATACACTCCTCGGTTCAGAAGTACCCTTCAACTTTACTTTTCCACTGTGGGCAAAACATTTATTAAACTTCTCCCTTGTATTTCTATGAGGAGCTTTAGTTTCTGCTCAGCGCAGCTCAGAGGTGTCTCTAGTGCAGCTCTGGGTGCTGTAGAGCAGGGATGGAGTGGACACGGCTCTGCTGAGGACCACTCTAGAGAGAGAATGGCGTTCGAGGCAGGCTGTGTGTTGCCTGGACCCTGGGCTCAGCTGCTGCACCAGCTAACACTCACAGCACTCATGATGTGCACGGCATCATTCTAAACACTCCACGTGGAGTTGACTACTTTGATCCTCACAACAGCAGTGGTGGGTGTTTTATCACTCACATTCTCCAGCCTGAGAGCCTAAGAGCCTGAGACACACACACGGTAGGTGACTTGCCCAGGGTCATGCTGAAGGGCAGTGGTGCAGCTGGGGTTGAACCCAGGGAGTCTGTTCTCAGCCGCTTCACTCCCCTGGCTCCTGGTAGCAGAGACCCAAAACAGGAGTTTATTTCTTGCTCTCATAAAAGTCCAAGCTGAGTAGCGCTACTTCATTGCTCTGCCATCTCCCATCTTGTGGTCCAGGAATGCAGCACCAGCTCCCACCATCATGTCACATTCGGGCCAGCAGGGAGGAGAAAGAAGAAAAAGAAGGAGGCAACAGCATGCTCCTTTCCTTAAGGACATGGATGAGAATTGTACATTTCACCTCCACTCATCCTGTTGGCCAGAATTTAGTCATGTGACCACACCTAGCTGCAAAGGAGGCTGAAACTGAGCTGGCTAACCATGTGACCAGGCACTAATTCTGTAATGGTATAAAAAATGGACGAATACCTACTGGGGGCCAACTAGCAGTGTGCTGCAGCCTTGAAGAGTGACATGGAATTTGCCAGAGGGGAGGTGATATGAGGCATTTTATTGGGGGTGGAGGAGGCTATATCTAGCGGTATTGGGGTCTCTGACTCCTAGGCCCAGGATAAGTGGATCCTGCCCAGTTACCTCTTCTCCGTGTAGGTTTCTTGAGGGGCCATATGCACAGGGCCAGTGACACATGGCAGCTCTTGGTGGAGACATCCATTATGAATGCATTTCCACAAGTTACACCATCACCACTGCTATTAACCATCCTGGACATCCCTGTTTCTTGAGCAAGAGTGGCTTGTTCCTGAATGATTGACAGTGATGAATGCATTCCCTTTGGGGAAGCAGGTGGGGGGTGTATTAGTTTCCTGGGGCTGCCATGACAAACTACCACTAACCTAGGGGCTTAAGCAACAGAAATTTACAGTTCCTCACAGTTCTGGAGGCCAGAAGTCCAAGATCAAGGTGTCAGCAGGGTTGGTTCCTTCTGAGGGCTCTGAAGGAGAGCCTTTTCCAGGCCTTTCCCAGCTTCTGGGGGTTGCTTGTGGTCTTTGCTGTTCCTCGGCTTGTGGATGCATCACGCTGATTTATGCCTCCATCTTCACATGGCATTCTCCAGTTGTGGGTGTCTGTGTTCAGATTGCCCCTATCTATAAGGACTCCAGTCATATTGGATTAGGGCCCATCCTAATGACCTTGTCTTTACTAATTACATCTACAATAACCTTATTTCCCAGTAAGGTCACATTCTGAGGTGTTGGGTGTTAGGGCTTCAACACATCCTTTAGGGGGTACACTGTTCAACCCATAACAGGGGCAATGCAGAGGGGCACCTGGTTGCATTGCCTCCCAGAATAAGCCCATTAGGAACATTGGTGCCCTGGCTGAAGAAGCCACGCTTTGGGAGGGTACTGGTGATGGATGAGTGACAGACCATACAGATGGTTAATCCTCCCGTGATTGGACAGGGAGATAAAGGGAGAGATGGGAGGTGATGTCAGTTCATTCAGGGCACATTGAGTGCTCTTCACATCCTGGAGGCTGTGCTAGGATCTTCCACAGTCTAGTGGGGGCCACAGATATGGAAGCAGATCCTTGCAGAGGAGCACGAGATGGCCTGGTACCTGGGGCTGATGGGCACAGGTGAGAAGGCGGACAGCGCTCCGAGGCCGCTGCAGCCGTCAATAGTACATTTATATCCCTGGAATCATGAGCCCAACGTGGAGAGGCTTGCTTTAACTCTGAATTTTGCATCGTTATAAAAAAGATTCCAAAAGGAAGGCCAGGCTTGAAAACTTGGGGCACTTGCTTGCTTTAAGTGCGCCCTCTGCTGGTGGCCAGCAGCACAACACATTCCCTGTGGTTCTCAGGCAGGTAAAGGAACCCAGCGATTAAACTGCACCGCCCCAGACCCGTGACACCACCGGTTGGGGTGATGGCCATCTTGCAGAGCGAAAACAGAAGACAGCTCAAGTGATTTACCCCTGCCTGGAAGGCAGAGCCTGGAGCCAGATGTGGGGCCCTCTCCATTACTCTCCTCCAAATGGCCCGTTACAATTTTACACAGACACACACACACTACAGAAGGTTTTGTTTTGTTTTTCACTTTTTTCCCAACACTTTATTTTGAAAATTTTCAAACATACAGAAAGATGGAAAGAATTGTACAGTATATATCTGTACACTCACTACCTAGATTATACAATTAATATTTTGCTATATTTGCTTCATGTCTGTCTCTTCACAGACTGGCTTTTAAAAATTCCAGTTATATTCTGCTTACAAAAGACAAATCTAAAACAAAGCAGCACAGAAAAGCCAAAAACAATAGTCATTTGTTATTATAATAAAAGTCAAAAGTCGTTTGAATTTACTCAAATAAGTGAAAACTCTTGTCCACACAAAAATCTGCCCACCAATGTTTATAGCAGTTTTATTCATAATTGCTAAAACCTGGAAGCAACCAAGTTGCCCTTTCGTAGGTGAATGGATAAACAAACTGTGGTCCGTCCAGACAATGGAATATTGTTGAGTGCTAAAAGAAAGAAACTATCAAGTCATGAAAAGACATGGAGGAATCTTAAATACATATCACTAAGTGAAAGAAGCCAGTCTGAAAAGGCTGCGTACTGGATGATTCTAACTCTACAACATTCTGGAAAAGACAAAACCATGGAGATACGAAAAAGGTCCGTGGTTGCCAGGGGCTCGGGGGAGGGAGGGATGACCAGGCAGAGCACAGAGGATTTTTAGGGCAGTGAAACTGTTCTGTGTGATACTGTAATGGTGGATACGTGTCATTGTACTTTTGTCCAAACCCACAGAATGTAGAACACAAAGAGGGAACCCTGATGTAAACTATGGGCTATAGTTAATAATAATGTATCAGAATTGGCTCGTCGATTGTAACAAATGCACCTCATTAATGCTAGATGTTAGTAATAGGGGAAACTGGGGAGGGAGCTATATGGGAACTCTCTGTACTTTCCCCTCAATTTTTCTGTAAACCTGCGACAGCTTTGAAAAACAAAGTCTACTAGTGTTTAAAAACATGAAGCTGTAACATAACTTTCATCATGAGTTCAAGTTCTAGTGTTCAGAATAATGAAGGGAAAAAGCTGAAAAAAAAAGGACTAGCCCTATACTAAACAATTTAAAGATCCTCTCTTGTAGTATCCACGTCACTCCTGGCCTCGCCAGTCTGTTCTAGTTGAGTAATATCTCCAATTCCATGGTTCTTCGGCCTACATAGTTACAAAGTGCAGGGTAGGTACAAAATGAATTTATTTGCAGACTTAGGGTATAATCCTAAAACTAAATTCCCTTGTCTCCATCCTCTTATCCCTGCTTTACAGATGGCCCAGCTGGGAAAAAGCACATTCAGCATTTCATGGTTGCGTAATATATGGAAGTGAAATGTGCACCTTTCTTCCTGTCGAGGCCCCGCTGCTCTGTCCTTGCTTTGTCTACTATCTATTCGTGGAGGGTGTTGTGATCCTTGTATCATCAAAACTAACCACTGCATAGTGTCTTAATGGCCAATATAAATATTTAAATCCTGGGTCATCATTTCACCACAAGGACAGGTCTACCACTGAAGTAATATAGGCAGGATGCAGCACAACATAGTTTTTGTGTTCAATAGTGTGTCTTTCCACACATCAGAAACTTTAGTTCTCAATATTTTTACTAGTATCTTTCTCGGCCTATTTTCTTTGGACTGCCCTCCTCTAGGAAAACCTAGCAAAATTATGTTACTATTACTACTCACTACTCTGGGGTCAGCATTTTTGGCTGTGCTAAAGAGTAGGTTGACTAAAGAAATTATTTGGAAGCATTTTTTATGTGTCAGTGCCTCCTTACCTGTTCAGACTTTAGGTACATAACTTGTACACCAGTTTGTACCCTCTGATAAATGTGCTCTTAAAGGAAAATAAAAATTTCATCAGCTCTTGCCGACACCATTTCATGCAGAACTTGGCCCTTTCATATTATCTGCTCTCCCAAAATTCTCACTCCAGAGTGTTTTTTTTTTTTTAAAGATTTTATTTATTTATTTCCCCCCAAAGCCCCAGTGGATAGTTGTATGTCATAGCTGCACATCCTTCTAGTTGCTGTATGTGGGACGTGGCCTCAGCATGGCCAGAGAAGCAGTGTGTCGGTGCACGCCCGGGATCCAAACCCGGGCCGCCGGCAGCGGAGTGCGAGCACCTAACCGCTAAGCCACGGTGCTGGCCCATCACTCCAGAGTTTTTAATGAACATTTTTTACGAGGAAAACATATGCCCTCATCATGAGAGTCTGGTGTGAAATTGTTTCATGCAATTATTTTTTAAAATGTTTAATGAATCTTGTTGCCCCGGCTAAGTGTTTTTCTCTGGACGTTGTGTTTTCTAAGTATTAAAATTGCAGCACTATGTCCAAGGTTATACTCTGTCACACATTTAAACAGTGTAAAATGCTTCTCCATAATCTTTGACAGCCCAGTGATCCTTGTGCCACATCCCTCCTGCTTTCAAATGTCCCCCATCATAGGAATTGTTC